ATATATATATATATATATATATATATATATTAGAAAGGTGGACGAGAACATGTGTCTGGTCCACCCCATATGTGTTAATTTGACCCAGATATATTTGAACCCGGGATAGAGGGAGCTTACACCGAAGCTGTCATCCAACAGGCCACCAGTTGTGCGCGTGTGCACATACACACACATTTATAAATTTAGTTAATTAAATTATAATATATCCCAATATCATATAATAAAGGAGAGTACAAAGTTTGTTATAGAGAGAGGCAAATAAGATGTTAAATCTTTTGGTGCTAGAGTTAATAGGAAACAATAATAAAATTTCTTCCACAAATATTAGAGGAGTGGAGATGCAGGGCTTAAACTCATGATCTTACAAATAGAGCTAAGAAATGAACAATAAGCCAATTTATAATTCATGAAAATAATTATAGAAATTAAAATGATGTCCAACACATTTTAGGGTAAAGATTTTCACAAGCTAATAAAATTTCAACAAAGAACAGAACCCTTTTCATAAATTTATACTTTATTTATTTCTAAACCTAAGATTTCCTTAAGCCCTCTTATAATTATTTTGAACAAAAGATGGTTAATACATAAATACCCACCGATTTGAAGATTTACTGTGACCCAATCACACATTTTGTGATTGTTAGAGATAAAAAGGATTGTTAATAGGGACATTTTGGCATTTTTATTATTTAAAAATTACATGTCTCTTGAGTGAAGGCTTATGCTTAAATTTTCATATATTAGAAGCATTTCTATTTGAAATGAGCTTTCAAACATTTTTTCTTAAGAGCACCAAGGTATTTGGTCATTCAATTGTATTATGAGGCATACAAAGTCATTATTCTCTTAAGAAATACTTCTAGGAAGTCTCCAAAAAATGGGCTGCCCCAAAGTAGGTGCCTTATTTAGTTTTTTATTTCTTAATAATGAGTTGAGCAAGTTCACCTTGTTTAGGTTTCAAGAAAGGATCAATACTCACTTGTCTATCCCCTTACAAAAATCACAATTGAATGGGTAACCCTACTTTAGGGCCAAATATCATTACCTTAATCCATAAGTTACTAGAGTCATTGTGATAAAAAGAAAAAAAATGATCAAAATATGATGAATAAAATATTTATTTTAAGATATATATAATATAAAATTTATTAAGAGTTTTTCATTATTCATTTTTTTCTTTAATATACTCTCACTCAACTTTTATCCTTTGTGAAAAAGAATTACAAAATGACATTTTATGCATAATGAATTTACAATATGAAATTAGTTGGATTTAGTAAATTTATTTTGATTAAATCCTCAAAATAATTTCATATGGAAGATGTTAAATTTGGTTAAATCCTCCTCAAAATAATTTCATATGGAAGATGTTAAATTTTGTTAAATCTATACAAATAATATGCGTATTTATTTTAGGATTTAAAAGTTGAAATCACTGTGAATTTTATTATATTAATTTTTATGAATTTTAAATATTTATATTACATAGTCAAGTTAAATTTGAAAATAGATATTTATTAATTTTTTTTAGTTTATTAATATTAATGCTTAACGTAGAGCTAATTTATTTTATTGGATATTGATCTTCTTATAAATTTGATTACATAAATAATTATAAACTCGCGCACGAACCCAGCGACGGGCCAGTTGCCAATTCGACTCCATAACTGTGCTTCTCGCCGGAGATTTGAGAGCAGATCACTGGTGCATCGAATTATCAAACTGCCCCGAAGCACGGCCAAAGCCAGTCATTTCCCAATCCATATTACGGCAGGGGAACGAAGCTTCGGAGGCGAGGGGATCGATATATATTTCAAAGGAAAGAGAAAGGGAGTTTGACACTTGAGAGGTAAAGGGAGATGTATCAATGGCGGAAATTTGAGTTCTTTGAGGAGAAATCCGGCGGGAAGAGCTCGATTCCCGCCGAGGTCACTGGAAAGATAGCGTGCTGCTCGGGCGGCAGGGGGCGGATCGTCATCGGCTGCGATGACGGCACCGTTGGCCTCCTAGACCGCGGTTTCAAGCTTTTGTATGGCTTTCAGGCCCACGCTTCCTCGGTACTCTTCCTCCAGCAGCTGAAGGTATATTTTTCTGATTGTTTTATTCTGTTGCTCAGATTTGAGATTTCTATCTTGAGATTTTCTTGATTAGTCGGTGAAATTGGCTTCCATGGTGACTCCTCGCTATCATATATATATATATAATATTTCTGTATGACCTTTTGAAATATTAACATTTATTCCACTCAATTTTTATGTGTTTACATATCAAACACCTAAACCTTGATTTTGATGCTCACTGGATCATTTCTCCTTGTATTTGATCCTGTGTCTGTTTAAAATCAATAAGAATCATATAGTGACCATTTCTATGTTCTTTATACTCTTCCTTTAATTGTCTTTACACATAAGTTTTGTCACGTGAATTTTCTTATCCTGAACATAAATTAATTTTCACAATTCATAACTTTTATTCTTCTATAATTACCAAAATCTTAACCTTTTTTTTTCAAACACTGTTTTTAAAATGCTTTAATGTTGTTCATTAATCTTGCCACCAATTTAATCATGTCCTTTCACATTAAAAAAAGATGTCGAAGGCAAGATCGATTTGGTTTAGTTTAATGAGGTATATATGTGGAGTCAATCATTCTTCTTGATATGTTAGCACGAACCTCATGATCCGCTAGAATTAGGATCCAAATATTGATTGCATTATTTTTCAACTTAGTTATAATTGATTCGGGATCCATTTGGGGCAGCTTTAATGGTTTGAAGAAGCAGCTGTGAAGCTATTGTAGAAGAAATTGTTGTTCGAAAAGCTGTGGGGACTATGACAAATTTATTTTAATTTAAAAAAGTCAGACCGCAGATTTCTAGCAAACATCACACTTAAATATGTTAGGTTGAAAAAAATAGTTTTCTACCACAAAAATTTCTAGAAAGTAGTAAGAAAACCGTTCCCCAAATATAGCTTTAGCGGCGGTCTGAAAAACAAAGCAGTAGAAAGCTGTCCCAAACAGACCCTCAATCTAAACTTCATCACATTCAAGTTGATACTATAGCATTTTGCTTACATTGCTTTGATAGATTTCTAGCAAACATCACACTTAAATATGTTAGGTTAAAAAAAATAGTTTTTGTTTAAGTTGGTCAGAAGAAGAGTAAAACAAATGATAACTGGCCTAGTGATATCCATTGTACAGACAATTGTCCTCTCCCCAATTATCAAATGACACATGCCCTAGTGTTCATAACACATCTACTCATTAGTATTGCCACAAACTTTTGATTCAAAGACCAAAAGATGTCCAAGTTATGCAAGTTGGTAATTGTTTAATTTTCTTAGATTTATATTTTAGCTCATTGAAAACATGCTGATGATGATGCTCTGTAAAATGAATGTGTTGCATTCCTAAACTTTTGAGCTGATTTGGTTGAGTTCTATTTTGGTTTATTGGTTTATTGTTGCCACTATTCTGAAATTGTTCATTATTTATTAGGTTTTTATTAATGGCTCTATGTTGGTTGTATGGTTTATTAATTTGGCTCAATGTTCTTCTTGGTAGCAGCATTTCCATCAGAATGCATGGACACCTATGATACTTAGCACTTAAGCTCGCTTTAGAATTTGTGCTTGCATGCTCCTTTGGTGCATTATTTTGTACATTTCCTATGTGATTTCACTCATCTTTGTGCTATTGTTGGTAGCGTGTTTCTTTGAAATTCATGCAAGTAAAATTTTAATATATTTTACTTATTTTTAAAAAGTTTTTTCTGCATATTACTTTTGGCTTGCAAACTTTTATTCTTGATCATGCCTAGTCATTTTTCATATTATTGTTTTCTAATTTTGTTCCAGTTTTGAGAGATTTTTGGCAATTGTTCCGTGCATGTAGATTGTGCTTGCAACACTTGGATGAGGATACATTGCTCTCACCACACTAAGATGTGAGTGTGAGTGGTTTAGGCGGTTCCCAATATAGGGAAATGACATAAAAATTGATTTCCTTGCTGCCTTAACAAAAGACTTCTACGAGGAGTATGCAAGGTGCTGTGGTTCCTCCATTTACTCTATTGTTCATAGTTGATGAGTTTGCGAGGTGGATGGAGGAGCTTTTCGAGTGAAACATAGAGGTAAAGGGTGGATGATATGGCAAGAGAAGAATGAGAAAGTGTTCAATATGATGGAGAAAGACGCACAAGACCGGAAAAGTGCTTGAGATTGTTGTAGTGGGAGTTTATATATATATATTATTGATGATTGAATTGCCCACTTTTATGGTGCCAAAAGGTGCCATAAACCTTGTTATTATTATTGTTTCTTAAGTAAATAGAGGGATCGTATGACCATTATGCCGGTGCCTTAATGGCATATTTAAAGGCATCATACGACACATGCCTTTCAACAGGAAACAATAATGAGGGGTGTGCATGGGCAATGTCTTCAGTAAATGCTTTAGATATGATATTTTATTTTTAATAGTTTTTTCTTGATCCGTTTTGGAGTTCCAAGCACATCAGAATGATTAGTTTGATGAAATGGGTGATAAATGAGCATATTTTTTCGTGCGAATGAGATGCTTTTAGCACATTCTTTGTGAAGTCATGTTTGTCTTCCACCACCACCACCACCAACAACAATGTCTTAATCCCACTACGTGGGGTCGGCTACATGAATCCTTTTTCTCCATTGCATCCTATTTAGTGTCATATTTTCATTTAGTTCTAATAAATTAAGATCATTGATCATTTTTTACACAGTTCTAATAAATTAAGATCATTTTTTACAAGTCTTCCTACAGTCTTCCTACGTCTATCTCTGTCTTTCTTAACATAAGTTGAATCTAAAACATCTACTCTCCTAATCAGATCATCAGATGGTCGACGTTTAATGTGACCAAACCATCTTAGACGGCTCTCTTTAATTTTGTCCGTCACTGGAGTTACACCAACCCTATCACGAAAATATTCATTTCGCATTTTGTCTCCAAGTGTAAAGCCACTCATCCACCTAATCTCTCTCATCTTGGCAACTCATAACTTATTATTATGTTGCTCTTTTAAAGGCCAACATTCAGCGCCATAGAGCATTGCAGGTCTCACCACCATCTTATAAATTTTTCCTTTCAGTCTAAGCATTGTTTTTCTATCACACTAAAGGCCTGAAGCATTCCTCCACTTCAACCAATCAACTTGAATTCTACTATTAACATCCCCATCTATATCACACCATCTATATATCACAATCGCTTTGAACAACAGACCCGAGATATCTAAATCATTTACACCTTTTAATAATTTAATAATTTGGGATCCGATCTGGGGATTAACAAATACATGTCTATCTTCTATTGCACATACGTCTAATTTCACCATGGTATCTTGATCATACATCATCTTTCACTTAATTTTACATTTGAAGTAAGGCCTTTTGTAGTTGAAACCTCCAACAACCTATCTTGCTTAATAAATGATTTAATGCACCCAAATTAATCTTTTGTCTGCATAATTTCTTCCATGATGATAAAGATAATGTTGTCAATCTCTTTAAGACCATCATGAATCATAACTTTAAGATTCACACCTAATATGAAAAATCTTCCCCAAGTAATAAAACTTATTTAAATTGAAAAACTTCGTTTCAAGAAATCCACAAGTCTATAATATGCTGAAGCATTGATCAAGTTGGGCGTTAACTTCTTCTGCACTCTAGTGCACAATCACCTCACTTATGCTTTCACATTTTATTTGCTCATTGTTTGGTGGGTCAATACATAAGAAACTCGCAATTCTATGCTATGAGTTTCAATCCAAATTAATGAAAGGAGTTGTTTGGTGTATATGGCCATTTGATGGATTATAAATCTAATAATCACTCGTAGAGCAACTTTATAAAAATTAATTTGAATTTTTTTCATTTTTCCTTTAGCTCATTCAATTTCATGTATATAATTTTGATTGTGCATCCAAAAACTTATGTCGGCGTTGTTTTTTAATATCTTTTTCTACTAGTTTCGTATCCACCTTGCTATATAAATCATTGAAAAATATAGATTTTTCTTAGAAAATTGTATTTTTTTGCAAGAATTTTACTTTCTTAATCATTATAAACATGAAAAGTTATATTTATCTCTAGCCACTCTTTAAATTTTTTTTTAAAACTATTATTTTTTATCTGTTGACACCTTTTGTCTCCATACTAATTTATAATAATTTTTGGGATTTTCGTAACTTCTATGACAATTTTTTAATGTAACTGGCTATCTTAGTCCCATTAGTTTAAACTGAACTAAAAAAATTTCATCCGCCTCTCTCAGCAACCTATCTTGAAATATTTAATAGTTTCTCGCCATGAAATTTATACCACCGTATGCTAGGGCACCATCAAATACTTAGAAATTATTTATTCTAATGATTTTCTTTATACTATTAAGATACGTCCTCTATACTATTTTTTATTGTGTGGTCAAGCCTTATCTTATAATCACTTATAATTTTTGTGTAAATGCTTTTCTTTCCAAGGAAAGAAAAAAAAAGGAATTATAGTGTGTTTTGAAGGCTTCATGTTGAAATTAAGCACACATTTTTTTTTATTTCTTAAAATATGTATTTGTTATTGCAAGATCATATGATACTATGTGTGGAAATATAGCATCTTCGGTTTGCATTCTTATCTCTTATTCTACTCGTTGTAAATTGTCTCGTTGCCCATTCTAAAACTTCTTTGCTATGTAATCCATTTCTTCTTAAAATTCAATTTTCAAACAACCTTTCAACCCAACTGATGAGTATACGCATTAAACACATTTATATTGCTCTCACAAAAAAATTAACTTAATATTAATCACCTTATCATTAATCTTCTTCACCTCAATAATTTATATTTCAACTTTCTACCTCGTACTTTTATAATTTGTTTCTATTGGTAACTTCATCAACATAGTTACTTAATATTTTCCCTACTTTCCTTAGATTTCTTTTCCATTTAGTATTTTTCAATAAACAATACTCATTCTTCTTCTAATTATTCTGTCTGCCAACTCTCTTATTTTTCAAAACTCCCAAATTTTATAAAGTAAATTAATGTTTAATTTATGGCATATCACTTCCCTGTGAAATCCTTGTAGGCTATTGGCCGCTTATTATAATTAGGTTAAATTGTGCCATGTTTTTTCTTGATGAATGTCCGAACATCAGCAAAATTTAAATATGTTTTCCTTTCATGATTTTTTTTCTTAAAGTTTTATTATTGGTTATTACCCAACATTAAATATCAATTTCTTCATCCAGATAACTCATTTATAGCACGTAAAATGTCTATCAGTTCTCCAAGTGAAATCTCCGTCCACCTTCCCTCTTTCTCTCAATGTGTTCAAGTTCCTTCTCTTAACGTGTTTAAGTTCCATGGGACTGCCAAAAAATCCTGGATCTAAGGGCATGTTTGGTTGTCTTGTTTTTTTATTTTTAATTAATGTTTTTTTATATTGAAACATAAAAACATTCAAAGGTAAATTTATTTCCATGTGCCATGATATATTTTATAGAAACAAGTTAAAATATTTTGTGATGTCTTCAAAATTTATGAAAACACACTAATTTGTTTCCTAAAACTAAAATAAAAATAACTCATTAAGCATTTCCTTTAACATGAATAGTAGTTTTGAAAAAAAAACATTGAAACAACAATACAGCCAAACCTGCTTTTGAAGAAAACCATCATACTTTCTAATCTTATGCGTGCGGGTGCTTTCCTTTGTGTTTGCATTTGGGTTGTGAACTTTCCAAGTTGAGGTGAGTACTGCTCTTTTCCTAGAAATCTTGCAACTTTGAATGTGACTGGTTCTAAAATCTTGCTGAAGCTTGTTATTATACCTTTTTGTCCAGCATAACAGAAATTGAATTTTAATCATGAATAAATGTATGCGAGATGGGAGATAACCTTATGATTGACATTGTTTTTTTCATACTTGTCTTATAAAATCGGTATTTTTTAATTTCTGAGGTTAAAAAATTTACGAGTGAACGATTGACTCTGGCTATATGACAACTTTCTTGTTACCTTCTATATACTTTTGATCAATTGAATGGAAATGAACATTCTTTTCACAAAAATGTGAAGTAAGTCAACAAACGCTACTATTTAAATGTCTAATAAAAAATTAAACAGGGTCTTATTGAAGAGACAATGCACATGTTCACTAAATAAAATAAACAAGTGAACATATATTTAGGCATTTACATTTATATTCTGAGCTTCAAAGCTTATGTTTGAACTAGTTCAAACATTATCATTATCAAGTTAAGGATTGATCTAATTAATCTTTGAGTGTACTATTTCTCTTACACTTCTAATTTGCGTTTAAAGCAGTTTTTTTATTTATTTCTTATTTCTTGAAAGTTTATCATGAATTTTCATGAGATTGGTATCTCATTCTGTAAAGCAGTTTAAGTCTGTTAAATGTGATCCTTTCCTTATTCTTCTTTGTGATGATTCAGCAACGAAATTATCTTGTAACCATTGGCGAGGAGGATCAAACCTCATCCCATCTATCCTCCACCTGCTTGAAAATTTTTGACCTAGACAAGGTGCAGCCAGAGGGCTCAAGCACAACCGGTCCTCTATGCGTCCAAATATTAAGGATATTTACCAGTCAGTTTCCCGAAGCAATGGTATTGTTGGAGATATTATCTTGATTAATCATTTCAATATCTTATTCAAGCATATCCTGATTGGTGGTGAAATAATTTACTTATTTCTACAGATAACCTCATTTTTAGTTCTAGAGGAAGCTCCTCCCATATTACTTATCTCAATAGGATTGGACACAGGCTCCATTTACTGCATCAAAGGTGACCTTTCACGTGAGCGTATCTCAAGGTTCAAGCTTCAAGTGGAGGGTCCCGTAGAGATTGGTGATTCATCCATTACCGGGCTTGGTTTCCGGGTTGAGGGGCAAGCACGTCAACTCTTTGCTATAACTCCTACCTCTGTGAGCCTATTCAGTTTGCACGTTAACCCTCCTCAGAGGCAGACTCTAGATCAAATTGGATGTAACACCAATGCCGTCGCAATGAGTGACCACCAGGTATATAAATTAGTAAGAGTGTCAAAACTTTACTCGACATGCTAACACGAACCAAACTCTACTCGAAAAATCTGGCTTCGGGTTAACCTGAATAATTTTTTGTTTGGGTTGTTAAGAATCCTAAACAATTTAATTTTTTAGGTTGGGTTCAGGTTGATCCGTGACCAGAAGTTGACTTGAAACCGACTCTTTAACCCGAAATTAACTCACCAACCAAAATTTACTCGAGATTGATCCAAAATCGAACTGAATAGCTATTATATCTTATTTTAAACTTGTTATACAGGTTGGACTTTCTGACAAGTTTAATATTTGAGTCGGGATTGGGTCGGGTCGGGTCGATTTTGGCTCAGACCCAAACCCGAGCTACGAACTTGATTTGACCCTCTTGTAAACTACTTCTTACTTCCATGATAATTTTTTTTCCTTTTTTTCTTTTTCCTAAATCTGGTAAATTAATCAGGATCTAATCATCGGTCGTCCAGAAGCTGTATATTTCTACGAAGTTGATGGTCGAGGTCCTTGTTGGGCTTTTGACGGCGAGAAGAAATTTCTTGAATGGTTTCGTGGATATTTATTATGTGTCATCGGAGACCAAAGAAGCAACAAAAATTCATTCAATGTTTATGATCTAAAGAACAAGTTAATTGCACATAGTATGGTAGTGGGTGAGGTTTCTCATATGCTTTGTGAATGGGGTTACATAATTCTTATTATGAATGACAGAAAGGTTTTGTTTATTGGTGAGAAAGACATGGAAAGCAAACTTGATATGCTTTTTAAGAAAAATTTGTATAATGTAGCAATTAACCTCGTTCACAGTCAGCATGCTGATGCTGTCGCTACGGCTGAAGTTCTTCGTAAATATGGTGATCATTTATATGGTAAACAGGATTATGACGAGGCTATGGCACAGTATATTCAGACAATTGGTCATCTTGAACCTTCATATGTCATCCAGAAGTTCTTAGATGCACAACAAATATACAATCTAACGAATTATTTAGAACAATTACACGAGAGAGGACTTGCATCCAAGGATCATACAACCCTACTTTTGAACTGCTATACAAAACTTAAAGATGTGGAGAAATTAGACAAGTTTATCAAAGGTGAAGACAGTATCAGCGAACAAAAGTTCGATGTGGAAACGGCCATTAGAGTCTGTCGCTCTGCAGGATATCATGAACATGCAATGTATGTTGCTAAGAAGGCTGAGAGACATGAATGGTACCTGAAGATTTTACTTGAAGACTTAGGTAGTTATGACGAAGCTCTGCAATACATTTCACGCTTAGAACCATATCAAGCTGGAGTAACCTTGAAAGAATATGGTAAAATTCTGATAGAGCACAAACCAGCTCAAACCATTGAAATCTTAATGAAGGTTTGCACGGATTCTGGTGAAACAAAGAGAATGAGATCTAATGGTGCAGATTTATCCATGCTTCCCTCTCCAATGGACTTCATTAACAGTTTTGTACATAGTCCACAATCGCTTATGGATTTTTTGGAGAAGTATGTGAGTCGGGTGAAGGATTCAACTGCTCAAACAGAGATTAACAACACTCTTTTGGAACTGTATCTATCTAATGCCTTATCATTTCCGTCGATTTCACAAGAAAATCTTGGTAATGATCTGAAATTCAAAGCCAACAATTCAAGGGAAGTAACTAATGGGTTTGCATCCGGGAAAAAGAAGAAACTGAGTGCAGAAAGCAGAGATGATAAGTTGGAAAAAGATTGGCAGGGAAGATTTCAGAAAGGGCTCTCTTTGCTTAAAAGTGCATGGACATCTGAGATGGAACACCCCATGTATGATGTTGATCTTGCTATAATACTTTGTGAAATGAATGCATTCAAAGACGGGCTGTTGTTTCTTTATGAGAAAATGAAGCTGTACAAAGAAGTAATTGCTTGCTACATGCAGGCTCATGATCATGAAGGGCTGATAGCCTGCTGCAAGAAGCTTGGGGATTCAACTCAGGACGGAGATCCAACCCTTTGGGGTGATCTGCTGAAATATTTTGGTGAGCTTGGCGAAGACTGTTCCAAAGAAGTGAAGGAGGTTTTGGCTCACATTGAAAAGGATGATGTTTTACCTCCAATTGTTGTTCTTCAATCGCTGTCAAAAAATCCTTGCTTGACAATTTCTGTGGTGAAGGACTACATTGCACGGAAACTTGAACAAGAATCCAAGTTGATTGAAGATGACAGAAAATCAATTGAGAAGTACCAGGTTAGCATTTTTAAATGTCTATTCACTTTATTAAATGAGTTATCTAACTGATTTAGGATAAATTGCATTAAAATTTAATTTTTCTATTCATCCTTCTGAACATAATAAAAAAGTCTGGTTGTTTTTTGATATTCATATGCAAATATATTCAATGGAGGACTGTTGTTTTTCATTCAGTTTTAACTTCCACTACTGTCTTATTTCATTCAGTTTTAACTTCCAGTGGATAATCTGCAAAAGAGTACTTATATGATGGAAATTATGAGAATAAATTTTGAAGGTTAAATGGTCACAAAATATAATTTATGATATTGAAAATACTAAATCAATTCTTTTAGATTTTTTGTTTTCAACTTAAAATTCTACTGTTTTTAGCTGATCTTTATAAATATAATGTTTATTGCTACTTTCGACTTAGCAATTTAAAAAGAAAGCACGTTCTTTTCCAAGTTAAATATGCTATACTAAGACATAATAAAGCAATGACATTTTTTAGCTTGAATTAAACTATACTTATATTTTCTTACCACCTTATAATACATGGTATCATAGGTCTAAGTTTTGTTAGTATGAATTTAGGATAAGAACATATATGGTTAAACTTATAGTTCAAAAACTCCTAATTCAAATCTTAAGACTTCATAAATAATAAGGATTGCCAATTCTCAACATCGCTAAAATCTCATAATCCAACAATTCTTGATCTTTTGAAGAATCACATGGAGTAGATTTATGGACATCAAGTATGAATATAGCAGTTCTAACATTAGAATAATCGCCTATTTCTCAATGTCCAAACTCCATGCAAATTCTCACATGATTTTCTTACTTCATCCATAATCTCTTTTCAAAAATCTTTAATAAAATAGATCGTGGTAATAAATCTGAAGGCAAAATGAAGGCCTTTAAACCTTTCATGATTTTGAAACACAACATAATCTTGTTTATATTTCTCATATTGATCATGCAATTGGTCCCTATTAATGACAGATATAATTGTTTATATTCAATGACAGATGTTATTTTTGTTCATGTTTTATATAAATCTTGTTAATTTATCAGCAATACGTGGTCAAAATGATTGAATAGTTCTCATTAATTTTGGCATTGCTCATGGAGTTATCTGAAAATTAGCTACATTGTAACGTTCGAAGAAATATTCCAAATTATTTATCCAACTTGTACTGTTTAAGATTATCCTTCTGTTGAAAAAATGTAAAGTTTGAACCCCATGATAGTCACGTCATAGTTTTTTAGAATTATATAACTTTTCCCAATTTCCCTTAAATGGCCTAATGTTATTGTTTATTAATTGATCTACTTGTTACTTCAAAATTCTAGTTAAAATTATGATGCAACTCTGAGGTTTGATGCTAATTTTAGTGCATGATGTCTTTGACGTCTGAGTTTTCTTAATGCGTTACCTATACATTTAGATGAAATTTATAAATACTGAAAATTTGCACAAGTAACAATTTAGATGTAGTCCAACAAAAACATGAATATTAATTTAGGGTAATAAAGAATCATGCGTTCTACCATAAAAAATGCCATATTGTTTGAATTACGTTAGCATTCCTTCTAATCACTAATTTTAGAGCATTGAAATAGAGAAAATAGAAGAGGTCACCAAATAACAATCCATGTCTCAAACTAATCCATGTAGGTAGAGTTCCCAATAACTGTATAGTCTCCATGGGCATTACACTAGAAAGAATCATATTAATCTAACACTGGGATTATTAAATATTTGAAGAAAATTATCTTAAGACGTGTTTTTTTATATGCCTCAGATAACTATATTTTTAATCACCATATTTTTTATCATTTTATTTTATGCTTAACTCTCTTTCGAATTAAGTTTGAGCTTACGATCAAATATAGATCCGTTTCCTAAACATGATCTATTATATATATAAATTTTGACTTAACAGCATCGAACATAAATTCAAATTGTAATTGTAAATCTCAGTATGCATATAATACATCTTCAAAAAAATAATCATTAATTATACTCAATAAAGTCATATTCTATTAACATGATTTTTTTATTGTTGCATTTTCAATTGACTTGGGTTGAGATGTTATCAAGCTTTTCTTAGAAATTAACATATGTGCAATAGTTCTAAGAGAAACATAAAGAACTAGATTAAGCCTCAGGTAATATATTTTAGAAATTAACATATGTGCAATAGTTCTAAGAGAATACTTGTGACATGCGTCAATACATAAAGAACTAGATTAAGCCTAAGGTAATATATCTGGTGAATTGCAATTAAATTAACTCTTAAAATCTTGTCTAAAATCTTTAATGAAGCAAGAAATTGTAACAAAAATAGTCTGAATTCAAAATATGTTTAGCTTCAGGATACATTGACATAGCATATTATTCATTTACTTTGGAGTCTTTATTTATAATTTTGAAACCGTTTATGTAATTTAACCATATTTTTACCAAATTGCAGATGTTTCTGTGTTTAAGTTTCATGCAAACCCTAATTGAATTTATTCCACTTGGAACCCTTCCCTGATATGATTAAGCGTGTAAACTAATTAAGCTGGGAAGTTGTTATATATAGTGCTATAAATGTGTTTTACACATTCCAATTTGATCATTTCACTTGTAATCAATAAAATACGAACTATGATTGTGATTGACTTTTGTCACTATATTCATGATGTTATACTACCATTGAAGCTGCCATTTAAGTTATTACTTTCATTTAAATTGACCCATAGGCTATCGTAAAAAAAGAAAGAAAATAGGGGCATTTACATACATTCCACCCAATTCCCATGTATAACACCTACAGTTTGCTTTTTACATTTAGCACCGAATCTCTCATATCACATAAATATCACTATCTTAACTTTCAAAAACGTGAAATACACATTTTCATGCATCGGTAAGGCGGCATATAGGTAAGAAGTGAAATTTAGGTGTTAGATAGGTAAAATCATAAGAATTGAGTGGTATGTATACCGCTTTCTGACACAGTAAACTTCAAAAAAGGGAAACTTCGCAAGCTCATTTGTTTAATTTCACATTCTTATCCCGCAGGAAGCAACCACCTCAATGAGAAAGGAAATACAAGAGCTCAGAACCAATGCAAAGATCTTCCAACTAAGCAAGTGCACTGCTTGCACTTTTACCCTTGATATTCCCGCAGTTCATTTTATGTGCATGCATTCCTTCCATCTGCGCTGCCTTGGCGATAACGAGAAAGAATGCCCTGAGTGCGCACCTGAATACAGAGCAGTATTAGAGACTAAACGAAACTTAGAACAAAATGCAAATGATCAGGACCGTTTCTTCCAGCAATTGAAGAGCTCAAAAGATGGTTTTTCTGTAATTGCTGACTATTTTAGTAAAGGAATTTTGAGTAAAACAGTTAATGACACTGATACCACCTGAAGTTCATTTAGGCTGCTGGCTTCAACTTTTCTATAGATCTCTAATTTGAATTACCTGTAGAGTTACAGGCGATTTAGTGATTTAAGGTATTAAGGTTTAATTGCAGGAGCTTTCAGAGGAATAAAATGGGCGTCGTTGAAATTGTCTGATCTTAGTAGAAACCAACAAAGGGGTTTTAAGTTTTGATGGTGTGTGAGTTCATATTTGAACTTCGTATGAAATTTTAGGGTGTGAATCGCTCCTTTGATGCATCATTTTAACTTTTCTTAATTCATTTTTGTGAGTTTGATGTACAGTGTGACTAATGATTATGATAATTAATCATTTGTTTTCAACAGAAAGTAGTTGTTATTTATTGAATTGACGTGTCTGTTTCTGCAGCTGATTCACCGATCAAAATATGATAGGAAAATTTACATCAACATGCAGTTCTTATGTATTTACATATCATACACCTAAACTTTCATGTTTACTCACATATCACTTTAGTATTTTAAACTTATGCATGAAAATGTGTCTTTCATATATAAAAAATGATAAGAGTGCTATTTTTTGTGTAATATTGAAGATTTGAGGCTGCTAATTATGAAAGTTTTGGTGTGAGATATGTAAATACATCAGAATTGTGTGCTACTTATGTAAATGCCCCTCAATATGATATATTTGCTTGGAGTGCAAAATTATATTTAGTATTTTTACAATTACTAACTTATAATTGTGACATTTGGATGTACAAATGAGGATTAATAATGTTATGAAGTATTTATAGTTGATCTTAAATGGTGAAGTTGAAGTGGCTGTGAAATTGTGCTCATTATGTGATTATGATTGATGACTCGATTAAGTAAGCGCTATAATGATTTGCTTTCAATATGTGTACTCTCGATTTGATTTCTCCTTTATGCTGATTAACATCTTAACTGAATATAAAAGTGTGTCATAAATTATCTTAAATTGAATATGAAATTTTGTGAAACATATTAAAAATCTATGTTAAGCAAAGTAATTGCATCTATTTCTTGTCATCAATAGTAGGGATATTGAATGTTGCAGTATGTTGGAGAGTTGCATTTTCTAGTGGAGGTGAATGTAATCTAAATATGAATTTTCTGATTTTGTTTGGCTATTAATGCTCAAATACACAACATTTTTATGTTATCATTGTTTATTAAAATTAGTGTAATTTTATTTCGAACTTGGTAAATATGCCTATACATATTCTAATTTGTTTATTTCCCAATGGTTATCTCAAAATTGTAAAAAAAACCTTTTGTTGTTGTTCATTCTCATTTCATTTCATATTGATTTAATATTTAATGGTGATCAATATGAAAATAATGTTTAGCATAAATGTTTATGTATGCTAGTCTATGTAGTTCAAGATTACTATTAAGTTAATGAATCTAAATACTTATATATATATATATATAGCGTCGCACACTCAGATCAGTTGATCGGACATCTGCTTGTCAGTTGGAAATTCCTTCTGGTCCGGGGTTCGATCTCCTCTCAGTGTAGGGTGTGGTACTCAAATTATTAGGCGCATGAGGGATGGTCAGGGCTTTGTATAATTGCCTCCGACCATTCCTTTTTAATATATATATATATATATATGTTGGCGAATATATATATATATATATATATATATAAATCATGAACTTCTGATTTCAGTTTTTATACCGAGAAACGTAGACCTTCAAAACCTGAAGTTTGCACCATCAACACCAATGGAAAATGCTGATAGTAGTGGAACTATAACTTAAGAAGAGGGGTGACTAGATAAAGAACGTTAGAGGTGACGAGTATTAAATTTTAAAATTTCCTCTGCTTAAAAGTTTTAAAATTTAATAAAAACGTGATTATTAAATTAAACATATAATTAATATTAAACTATATATAAGTATTTAAGTTGTACATGAAAATTATGCAAGCATGAATTTCAAAGAGATCCAAAAGTCTATGGGGAAAATGCCCTAATATCAATAGACCCACTGAAAGGCAAATCAACGAATAAGATTCTTGGCTGGACTTAGCAAACTCAAAACTGCTCAAGTCATCAGAGCGATCAAGTTGTCGTCATCTTGAATGGCTCATCAGACAACAAGCGAAGAATCGGCCACGCCAGATATTGCAATGAAGTTAGGCCAAAGGAAAGGCTAGCCCCATAACTGCTTTGTTGGGATCACTTAGTCGTCTCCCCCAAATGCCATCAAAAGAGTACAATTCTCAACCATCCCACCAGGATCCTCTCTTTTAAAGGAATGCTACCTAGCGGATTAAGATGATTTACCTTGTATGATGGCTTGGTTTTTTCCCAGCCAACAGAGATTCCTTGGTGAAGATCGAGGGTCGATTGGGCTACTCTCACCTACTGGCCAAACTCAGTCAATCAAATCTGCCTTACTGACCTATCGTCATCGATCCGACCAGTAGTGCTACGCTTGAGGACCATGATGGTACATTCGATCGAGATTTTCATCGAACCCTTACAGTTTAGCCGGTCAAACTGGACTAACCATAATCAATAAGACCTTGGGCCCACAAGTATAAAATACCTAGAATAACTTTTATGAGCCTTACTTAGATAGGGATATAAATGTAACGTTCCATGTTATTTCCCCGTTGTCTATAAATAGGGGATTATTTCATGAATAAGAAGTTACAAAATCCTTATTGCAAGCTTTGAAAGAGTTTGCAAGCTCTATTGCAGGTCATTCAAAGGAAACACAATTGCTTATGCTTGTATATAGCTTGATTAAAAAAAATGAATACGGGAAGTATGAGATCTAGAACTCACAGCAGCACATGGTGCATTGTCCCAAGGGTTGAGAGGAGAATGATTTCAATATTCCTGAGGTCCGCAACATCTAAATACTTTGGTCAAACTGTTGGAGATGACCAACAACCAAATCACAACCGAGTAATAAGTCAAAATCCCAGCCTATCACAAAGCCAAATTATCCGACCATCACTCACAGAAGAGATCCTGACAACTTAATGAGTGGAGATCAAGGGAAGAGCAACCTCCTACCATATATCCCAGACATGAAGATAGCTGACAACATTGAGACAACAGGGGGGCGACAAAAGCAACCCTCAAGGTGTTCAAGAAAGGTATAACAACCAATAATCGGCTTGTTATTACGAGTTGTTAACGAATGTTCATGAAGCAACAAGGGCCACTCCATTAAGGGTCTAGATGATGGAGTTAGTAAAGACCATCCAAAATAATGAATACTTAAAGAAAGTGCTTGAAATGAGGGTAGGAGCTTTTCTCTAATGCTCGAAGAAGTATTGCACCTTCTATAAAGACCCTAAACATGACACAGAGGAATGTAGGCAGCTCCAAAACCTAGTTGAGGAGCTAATAAGAGTTGGGAAGCTCAAGTAATTCATGGCTCCTAGATCGGCGGCCCAGAAACATGGGAAGGCCTCATTGGAGCAAATTTTGGATGAGCCAGATCAAAAAAATGGCATCTGTATCTTAGGGTTTATATCAGCCATTTTTCGAAGAACCAAAGATCCCTCTAACATAGCCAGCCAAAAAAAGCTCTGATCGAGGGAGCTTCACACTGTTGCCTTTGCTCTAAAGAATAGCTTCCATCCACAGATAACTTTCACTGGTGTGGTTCTACCGTTAAAGGTGAATCAATACAATGATTCCATAGTCCTAATGGTGATGATCAACACTTACTAGGTACGTAATCTCCTGATCGACACTGAAAACTTTGTGAATAATTTGTTTAATTTAGTGTTTGATAAGTTGAACCTTCAGATTGACCCATTGGTATTGTTGACCGTCCTACTTTATGATTTATCTGGAGGGAGAACAGAGGCCCTTGGTGTAATTACACTACTTGTTGCTTGGCGAGAAGGCAATAAGCCATTCTCCTACATGGAAGACTTCCTAGTGGAGGACTCGCTACCAACTTACAACTCTATCTTCAGTCGCCCATTGCTGAATGATTATAAATCCTTTGTCTCTACATACTACAATGTTGTAAAGTTTCCTTGTGATGGAGAAATCAACATAGTTTGAAAAAACTTGGAGCAATTCCAGACCTGCTTCCTACTGACGGTCAAAAGTGTGAAATAAGAATAGCTTGACCTCCAAAATACACGCGAAGGAAGTCTCGAGACTAATGAAACCATCTTCAAAATGCATGCGATAAACCACGAGAACGGTAATTTTAGATTTGCCATACCAACCCATAATCATCGAGCTGATCGATAGTGTTACATCTAATGATAATGATAGATACAACTGACTGGTATGTTTGTCGAACCCTTATACAATTCAGTTGGTCGAACCATCCATGCCAGAGAATAGTAAGAATCTGAGCCCACAAGGGTAAAATACCAATTTAAATAGGGGTATAAATGTTACTTTCCTTGTTATTTCCCTTTTTTCTATAAATAGGGCATCATGTCATGAATAAAAGCCCACACAACCCTTTCAATCTACTGGTAATTTTCGTGCTCTCTCCCTCTCCCTTTCTCTACTTCTCTACTCTCTATTCTTTGAGTCTGATTCACATGAAAAATTCAAATTCAACATAAGTATAGGAGAAACATAACTTTCAATGTTTTATATAATATTTTAAGAATTTTATAAAAAAAAGAATTTTAAATGTTTCCCCTGTCATCCCCTTCTACCACCGTTATATGGTAGTTCAAGGAAATCTCCATCTTCAATCTATGGTACATGCTCACTTTATTACTCAAGGTTTTTCTCAAAAATTGCGTTGAATGCTCACACAATACTGCTAAATTAAGTTTTTTGATCTGTTGATTGTATCATCCCTTTATTCTCCTAAATTTTTTCTTTGAAACACATTTTGTGTCGGAATTACATCCAAAAATTTTTTCAACATATTTATATTTTGGAAATCTGCCAAATAATTTATTTATGTGTAAAATAAATTTTCTCAAAATTGATTTTTTTCTTTTACTCAAACATAGAAAATAATAATAAATTTTTAAAATCCATCTTGTTTGAAACTAAAATTTGCATGTTTCTGAAGAATAATATGGGGCATAAATCTTTAATCATTGAGCATCTGAGAAGGGAGGCCTCAATCAGATGCTTGTGAAAGCTTCAATGGAGTCCCATGAACCTCTTGGATGTGTTGGTTTCCTCTGGTGTATGCTCCAAGTATAAGCTCAATGAAATGGGGGTGCGGCTTTGGTCTAGGAGTGGTTTACAAAGCTCAACAGAGGTGGATTTCAGTGGGAATTTTCTTCTCTTGCTCCGAGAAGCTCAAGAATAGTTCAATTTGAAATTTGGGGGATTTTTCAAGATGGCCGAAATTTTTCCTGGTTTTGAGCTAAAAA